TGGCATTTAGGAGTATTTTTTGTCTATTTTTCAATACTACCAATCATCAATGCATGTTTGTTAAAAAAATAACTACAGATGAGTAAAATTTTAAAATGGAACTAACTCTCTGTTATCCTTTTTTAGAAAATAATGGTAAATTTACATTCATCCAATTGTACACACACGCATCAAAACTTAGAATCACTATTGGTGAATGTTTCTCAGATTTTTTCTAATTTCCATTTTTTCTAAGAATGCTTCAATAAATGTGGCTTAGTTTTCTACAGGGCAGGGTTAAACTTGTTTTGAGTACCATTTCATGCTTTCTGTAAACAAGTAATACCTAGAACAGAGATTTATTTGGAGGCATCAATACCATTTGCTATAGAAACATATTTCTATGTAGACCCATCTCTTCTTTGCAAATACTTAAAGCATAGCTTTACTTGTTTTTCATTCAATAACTATAAAAGGATGGCTTTTCTGTTCAATATGATGGATCAATGTTCTAGCTGCTCCTGGCACAGATTTGTAATTTAAGGTGAAAAAGATGAATTCTACTCACTATATAGTAAAAAAAAATGTTATGAGGCAGAAAGCAATGATGAATGTGAAGCATTTTGAGTTTCTTTTAAGGAATAATAATATGTAATAATTTAAAAATACACACGGATTGTCTTCAGACTTCCTCACATRAAAGACGATATCAAATATAAAGCATACAGGTAGTTTCTTAGAATATTTTATCTCCTGAAATAGCTGAAGTCATCTCACATTCTTCTTTTAATTAAAAGCAGTAATTAATTAGCAGTATTTGCTTTATTTTATTAGTATATTACGCAAAGTCAAAATGAACTGAGATGAAATATAAGAACACTGCTTTGAAAAACTTTGTGTTCATATGATTAGGTTGATTTCAGTGATAAGGAATATTAGTGTGTGGGAGATGCATTTGTGAGGTCCCATTCTTATGCCCTTTCAGTGAGATATAAGTTAATGTAAGGCAAAAGATTAAGAGAAGAATGAGACAGGGTTTGACTAAATTATACTTTCATCAGGACAGCAGAGTTTTATTTCTCTTAAGTTTTAATTTTAGTCAGCTTTTTTTCTGCTTTGACCAAAAGACCTGACAAGAACAATTTTAAGAAGGAAAAGTTTATTTTGGTGCTTACAGTTTCAGAGGTCTCAGTCTATAGACAGCCAGCTCCATTCTTCAGAACTCAAGGCCAGGCAAGAACATCATGGTGGAAGAGTGTGGTAGAGTCAAGCAGCTGAAGACACTGTACCAAGAAGCAGAGAGAGCAAGCTCTGCTCAATAGGACAAAATATATTCCCCAAAGGCACGCCCCCAGGGACCCACCTCCTCTAGCCAAACCCTACCATACCAGCCCACAGTTACCACTCAGTTAATCCCTATCAAGGGATTAATTCATGGATTGGGTTAAAACTCTCATAACTCAATCATTTCACCTCTAAACCTTCTTGCATTGCCTCACACATGAGCTTTTGGGGGACACCTTGCATCCAAACCATAACAAATCTCACTAAGTATTGTTACTTATTTTTAGGAACCARTAAGACACTGTGTTAATCAACTAAAATAATCAAATAAAAAAAATTGAMATATATGTACAAGGTGACATATGTACAAATATTTGTGTTATTTTTAAGGAGAATTCAAATTAGGGTCTGACTTATATAACATGTCCTAGTTTATTGTTCATATTTAGTATTTCTAACTTCATTAATTACTGGAAATTCTTAATTTAAGAAAAGGGAAATTGCATGGTAATGGAGGGAGACCCTCATTGTTATACAAAATTACACATAAGAGGTTGTGAGGGGAACGGGAAAATAAACAAGGAGAGAAATGAAATACAGTAGATGGGGTAGAGAGAGAAGATGGGAGGGGAGGGGAGGAGGGATAGTAGAGGATAGGAAAGGTAGCAGAATACAACAGTTACTAATAGGGCATTATGTAAAAATGTGGATGTGTAACAGATGTGATTCTGCAATCTGTATTTGTGGTAAAAATGGGAGTTCATAACCAACTTGAATCTAATGTATGAAACGTGATATGTCAAGAGCTTTGTAATGTTTTGAACAACCAATAAAAAAATTTAATACTCTTAAAATGGTTATCACATTTCTAATCTTTGGAAAAAGTTTGTATTTTGAGAACAAATTACTTGTCTACTTCAAAGTTCTCAGTCCATTATATTTATGTAATTAAGAACTCTAAAAAATGCTTCAATGATAGTAATGGTACTTAAGGCTTTGATCTCTTCCTTTAAGTTGCCACCCCTCCCCAATTAGGGCCACTTTTTGAGTTTATTTTATGTTTTACAATTTTGATTTTTTAAAGTCCTTTGGGGATAAAATAACTGAGTTATTTCATAGTAGATGATATAAAGAATTGGTTGACTTTTTTTTGAAATATATGGTTATATTTGTTTACTTTTTCAAAATGTTAAGGACCTTTGAACAAATTGTGCTGCTTGGGGTATTGTTAAACCACTTTTTATTATTTTAACTAAAAAAAACAAGGAACATACTTATACACAGAGTTTATTGTGAGGCATTTCTGGATCTTATTATTTAAAACTATGAACTAACTTCATTATTTTCCTCTGCCCCTTTACTGCTTTTTCTCCCYCTGTACCATTTGTAATCTTCTAGTATAAACACAATTTGCCCCCTCCCCCTTTTAATTAGTTTATGATCTACCTTCCTACAAAGCATAATCCTGAAGAAAGGGATTTTTATTGTTTGTGTTCACTGCTATCCACTGCTTTGAAAAGATACCATATAAATGCCCATACAGATTTCAAAATTCCAAATTTACTTTGTAAAACATACTTAGTCTGAATTTTTAATTTTTGAGAGATATTGACTTTATTTTAAATTTTTGTAATGGCGAACTCAAAGTCATCTGAAATATAAATACTTGTAAAGTTAATATCACCTTGTATTTTTTTAAAAAACTCTTACTTCATTCATAACCTATAAAATTAGAAATTTGTTTTAAAATGCAATCCTTAAGGTATAACTTAGTCTACATATTAAGCCCAGTCTCTTGAAAATTCCTCAGTCAGTGGTGATAACTGATGTTCATATTGATGATTTTGATATGCCTTAAAATCCTGAAATGCCTTTTGATTCACCAAAGGGAAGGAAGGAACAATGGAAGGCAGGCAGGCAGGCAGACTTCAAAAGTTAAGTTCTCCTAGAGAACATTATATTAAGCGAAATAAGTCAGGCATAGAAAAACAAATACTACATGTCCTCACTTATATATGGAAGCTAAAAAAAAAGTTGATCTGGTAGAAGTAGTGAGCCTGGATGGGTGTAGGGAAGGCAAGGATGGAGAGAGGATGGTTAATAGGTACAAGGGTGCAGTTGGACAAGAGGAACAACTTCTAATGTTCTAAAGCACAGTAGGATAACTACAGTTGACAACAATTAATTGGATATTTCAAAATAGCTAGTAGAAAGTATTTTGAATGTTTCCAACACAAAGAAATGATAAATGTTTGATGTGAAATGTAATACCAGTTATCATGATCTTACCATTACATGCTATATACATCAATTGAATAGCACACTGTATTACATAAGTATGCAATTACCTTGTGTCAATTTATTTTTTTTTAAAACTGGGTTCTCTTTAGATTGATTTCCTTTTTGTCATCTGAATACATGGTAAATCAACTAAATAGAACACAAATTCCAAAATTTTTAAAATAAATAACAGCTTAATTTGTTTAAATGATTAACGTTTTACTGCTTCCATTTATATCAGAAGCATAGAAAAATTTTCCTTAGTTTCAACTCTAATTGCTGTTTTTCCTAGTTGTACATATGATTTCCACCAAGGTATTTTATACTGTTTTGTTGAGTAAGTAAAAATTGTTTGGCAMGTATCTAAATACTTGAATATTTATCACTGGAGTTTTGTGAGTACTGGTGACACTGATGCTGGAGTAAATTTTTATAGCATTGCTTTTCTAGGTAAAAGAAAAAATAACCACAGTAGCTAACAGTTATCAGGCATTTACTGTGTCAGTTACTCTAAGTGATTTTCATGTACTAAYCAGTTTATTCCTTACAGCAACCCTTGGAAGTAGGTAACTACTATTATCCCTTTTTATAGATGAGGAAGTGGAGGCACAGAAGACTTAAGTAACTTCCCTCAGTTCAGACAGCTAATATATATGAAAGCTAAATTTATGCCCATGCCTAATTCTGCTTAAAGGAATATATTTTTAGTATTTTATTTTATAGGGGGCCATGGGTGGTGGTATATCAACCAAGATACAGATATACTAATGAAAAGAACATTAAATGTTTCAACAGAGAGAATATAATATGGGGAAATACAGGTTTAAGAAAACAAGGAACTGCAGAATGTATGAAGTTATATAAATCAATAATTGCCACAAGTAAGCAATAGGGCTGATGGATCAAAAGAAAGAAGCGTGGTTATCAGAATATTAGAGGGAAAACCTCCACAGCTGAGTCTTAAACTTCTAAGGAAATTCAACTTTCTGGCTATAAGGCCCCACTGAGCTTATGAGGTACCAAGCATCTCAAATTGCACAGAAAGATGGATTTGGAGTTGAGAGAAGAGCCTAATAACTTGTATAATGGGAAGCAAATTCAGGGAAATAATGGCAACATCTTCTCTCATAGACTAATTCAGTTTACAAATCATTATGTAAAATCAGTACTTGAAAAACTCCAGCAAAGAATAATGTGAAAAAGATGAAAAACATTAAATTTACCTTTTAAAATGGGAAAAATAGGGGCTGGGGTTGTGACTCGGTAGTGGAGAGCTCGCCCAGCACATGTGAGGCCCTGGGTTCKATCCTCATCACCACATAAAAGATGAGTAAATGAAATAGAGAGATTGTGTTCAATTACAACTAAAAAATAACAAAATGGGAAAAATATTGTTTTGTATTATGTATGGGAAAAAGTATTAGTAAATTATTTAATATCTTTTTTATTCATTTTAGATAAGATGGGAAAAAAACATCACATTGGGGGAACCACCAGGATTCTTACATTCTTGGTGGTGGTAAGTATCTTTTATTCCATTTTTACTACATTGATAATGCATTTCAGTAGACTTGCACTATACTTATTTATATTTAATGCTTCTCTTTTAATTTTTACTTTCTAAAATTGTTATTTGAAAGTCAGCACTTTTAAAAGCAAAACTCAAAACTAGCGTTAGTGTTTTTTGACTTAAAGATGTTACTATTTAGTCAAGATGGAATTGAAACGACTATGTGGAATCTCCAACTGTAAGTATGATTATTGTATTTGTTTGTTAGGACTGCCATAACAAAATATCAGAGAACAAATGGCTTATACACAGCCAGAAGGACAGAAGTCTAAGATCAAGGTGCTAGAATGACTGGTTTCTGATGAGGGCCCTCTCTTAGGCTTGTAGACAGTCACCTTCTCACTATGACTTTACATTATAGGGGGAGAGAAAGAAAGAAAGCTTTTTGTGTCTCTTCTTAGAAGGGCACTAATCCCACAATGAGGGTCATACCTTTGTGACCACAACCAAATGTAATTATCCTCCAAAGGTCCACTTCAAAATGAATTTGAAAGTTAGGACTTCAACACATGAATTTGGAGGAGGTATACAATTCAGTCCATAGMAGATTTCCTCTTTTTACTTGCAGTGGCAAATGAGGATTGTACTTTTTTTGATTCTCTGCTCACTGACTATGTATAAGGTTGCTGTCTGTGAAGAGGCCTTTTAAATTGTCATAATGCTAGACCACTTCATAAGCTTCAGAACACCATTCCTGTTTCTTCCTTGAAGCCTCACTTTTCCTCTTGAGAATTGGAAATGGGAGATAATAATTTGATTGGCTAACCCTATTCCAAAATAACAGCCATCCATCAAATGGAAAATTTCTAAGAACAAGAGGGGAATAAATTACAAATAAACAGGCACTGAAACAAATTTATCTTCATTTTCTCAAGATGTAAAAGCATATTCATGAGAAATGGTTTTCTGATAAAGTGCTAAGCAGATACTGAACTATTCATATGTATTTTTGTTTCTTGTTTGTTTTGAAGACCACAATTTTATATTTCTTTACATTTCTGCCATATGGGTGGTAACTTTTAAGTTTCATTTATTCATATGCTTTGAACAAATTTCTCTTTGCAAACTTAGTAAAATTTATTTATTGCATACTGTCAACAAATACTTATCGAATGCCTTGTATGTATCAGGTGCTATATGAGGTACTGTGGGCACACCAGTGAATAAAATGGGTACACATCCTTCCCCTATTGTTGATGACAATCTATTGAGGAAAACAAATAGCTCAATAAGCATAAGAAAGAAATGTTTTATGGGATGTGCAAAATACCATCTAGCACATACTGAATACATTTCGCCTGGAGAAGCTTTTATCTAAGCCAAGATTTTAAGTGTATAGGGAGTTACCCAAAGAGACATAAAGAGATAAAGAAGAGGAATTTTCTAGGTCAATCCTATGATGTTTGAAGAGGAGGGGTAGGCAGAAAGAGTATAGCATGTAGAAAGAATGGAAAGAATTTCAGTGTATTGGAAATTGAGGTGATAGATGATTAGGGATGAGTCTGGAGAGAGAAACTGGGAGTTTGAATTTACTTATAAAGATAATCCATTCAGGTAAGTTTTTCAGCAGGAGAGTATTCATCTTAGAGTAATGTATCTTAACAATATCATTGTAGTTATATAGAGTAGAAAATGGATGGAACATGAATCAATCCAGAAGTAGAGAAGTACTTAGAAAGCTATTTCAGTGAGAAGAGAATGGATACCTCAGCTAGTGTATAATCAATGAGTAGCAAGAGAAGTGGAAGGATGTGGAAGATGTAAGTGTTGAAGTAGCATTGACAGGATTTGGTGAAAAGTTCAGCTTTGTGGGGATGCTGGAAGTACATGGCATCCTGGTGGAGATTTGATTTAGGCAGCTGGTTAGGTATATCTGATATGTAAAAGAAAGAAAGATGGGTAAATGGTATTTCCCATGTGTGAGGAGAAAAAATGGATTTTGTATAGAAAATTTGCATACTTAACATTTAAGAGGTGAGGAGGAAGAATAGGCTACAAAGGAGACCGAAGACACAACTAAAGAGGTAGGAAGAAAACCAGGATAGTGTACCATCAGAGATAGCAACAATAAGGGAGGATTTTGAGAAAGAAAAAAATGTTTAAAAATGTCAACTGTAGCTGAAAGGTAGAATAATAGGAGTGGATATGTCCTTTCTGGACTTAGTGAAAAGRTTATTGTTGACTTGTGCAAAATGAGAAATGAGGGCTGAGGTTGTAGCTCAGTGGCAGAGAGCTTGCCTAGCACGTGTGAGGAGAAAAAAGAAAAAGAAAGAAAAGAAGAAAAAAATTTAAAAGTGTCAWCTCTGCAACTCTGGCTAAAAGGTACAATAACAGGAGAAGCATTTCCTGTTTATTGCCTTGTACATTAATCTCTCAGCGTCTTCTTTAAAAGAAGAGAACAAAAATTCTTTTCTAGTGCCATGAATGTGGTTACTTAGTACATTATTTAATGCCATCATCTTTTTAATCTCCTGAAAGCATTCCTTACTAGAARTCCTGTGGTGAATCGCACATGGTCAGTTGTGGTTGTGGGTTTCCCCTGTTTGTCTCACGTACATGTGGCAGGAGCAGGTGCAATTGTTTGGTTGAGAATTCTTCCTGTATTTAGAACAACGGTTCATTACAGTTAAGCATCATCATAAGTGCTGTGTTTGGGGGTTTTAGGACTGATCTCTTATATGATATTATAAAAGTCAAATTTTCATTTTTACAGTATGTTTTGATGATATCTAGATCTTCACTATAAATTCTTAGCTATTTTCTGATAGTCATTGAGTCTCTTCACCTATTAATACCTTTATACTCTGTAAGTTTTGAATTAGCTTCACAAAGTGGCATAAAAAGCATCTGAGACTTGTATTCCTGTTGGATCAGGGTTAACAGTGAGAATTTTAAGTTTTGTGTTATAGCATTAATTTTTTTTCTTGTACCTATTTCTCTTTTACTACCTTTCTTGTGAATATAACCTAGTCTCATACAATAGATAGTTGGTAATAAATTATTGAATTTATAGATGGGTGATAATAAATTAAAGATATTTTTTGCATCTGCTTGACTAGCTTTTTTTTGGTTACCAGTTGTCAGAAGGTGCATATAAAAATCTTACCAGTTGGGCTGGGATTGTGGCTCAGCGGTAGAGCGTGTGCCTAGCACAGGCAGAACCCGGATTCAATTCTTAGCACCACATAAAAATTTTAAAAAGGCACGGTGTTGTGTCCATCTACAAAAAATATTTCTCCCTCTCCCTCCCTCCCTCCCTCCCTCCCTCTCTCTCTCTCTCTCTCTCTCTCTCTCTCTCTCTCTCTCTCTCTCCTTTCTCCTCTAAAAAAATAAAATAAAATCTTACCAGAGCTTTTACTTTTTACTTTTTTTGATGGCTCTTGGATTCAGGGGAGTCCTTCCTGTATGGCTTTGATGTTTAAAGTAACTAATTCTTACTTAGTTGGATATATCAAAAAATTCTAAATAATTAGCACATAAATATTTCCAGTCTATATTTGTTCAGCTTAAATCTAGCACATGTACAGTGTATAGGAATTGTATTTTCAATGTTTTTAGTTTTCTTCCCTAAAACTATTAACACACTCTTTCAGGTACCTAGTTCAGCTATATAAATAAATGATTCTTAATAATTTTGAGGTCAGGGGCTCCTCTGAGAAATGATGAAAGCTTTGGATCCACTGTTCTAGAAAAATGCCCAAATCCTAAACTGTCCTGATCATTTTGTACAGTCAAGTCATTACTATAGGTTCTGAATCCAGTAGAAGCCTAACCTTTTAACCCTCTACTTTTTTTTTGGTTATGGGGAGGGTACCGGGGATTGAACTCTGGGACACTCAACCACTGAGCCACATCCCCAGCCCTATTTTGTATTTTATTTAAATATAGAGTCTCACTGAGTTGCTTAGCACCTCACTTTTGCTGAGGCTGGCTTTGAACTCAAGATTCTCCTGTCTCAGCCTCCTGAGCCACTGGGATTACAAGCATGTGCCACTGTGCCTGGCTAAGCCTCCACTCTTTAGAACTGGGCTTCATAATCTGTGATCTAGGTTAGGAATTCAGGACCATAATAATGGTTGACTTTTTACACCTACTAGGAAAGCTGTTGCTGTTGTTGAGGTTTAGATGATYAGGATGGCATGTATTCTTTAGGAACTTACTGGTTGCCCAGTTGTTCAAACTAAGACTATTTATGGACCAATTTTGTTACTTCTTCTATTTTTTACAGAATATTTGAATTTGGAATTGTCCCATTATTTAAGCCTCCTCACTGAATATTTACAAAGTACAAAACTATGCTGCCCTCAAGACAATTAGTAATAGGAGAGAAAAACAATGAAAAGTATTATAATAGAAGTACATACTAGTTATGAAACCAATACAAAAGCAATTTTAAAAAGAGTTAGAAAATACTTCAAAAAGTGAATCTAAGCAGATATGAAAGTTGAATAAGGAAAAGGTATTTTGGGTGGGGAATAGCTAGTATAAAATCCCAAAAGGGGGRTGATCATGTATTTAAGGAGTAACAGTTTGAAGCAATTGATCTATAGGTGCAGTACTAGGAAAAGATGGAATCTAAAGCTAGAGACAAAAGCAGGGGCCAGGTTAAAAAGTCCTTGGATACATCAAGGATTTTGGACTACAAACAGAGATTATAAACARGGTGTATGATATTATAAGATTTGTGCTTTTAGATACTCACTTGGCATCAACATCGAGTTGGATTGAAGAGGATTGACAACAGAGGTGGAGACCAGTTTATAAGATGCTTATAATTGTCCATTGTAAAGGTAATAATGTGAGAGATCTCAGATAACAATGTGTCAAATAGTTTAGAGGTGAACAAGGAGCTCCCAAGTTTTCAATTTGATTGATAGGATAGACATTGAGGCTGTTCACTGAGTGAAGGAATATAGGGAGAACAACAGGCTTAGCTTTGGAGAAGACTG